GGGGGGGGAGGGGAGGGAGGAGGTGCCATCAGCGACGGGCACGCGGTGAGCGTGCGCTCAGCGCCCGGGGCCGGGCAAACCGTCCTCACCCTCTCCTGTCGCCGGAGGTCTGCTGGGTCTGCGCCCCCACCTCCCAGAACGCCGGTGGGGGCCGAGCCCGGACGCACGCACTCCATCACTCCCACCCAGAACTGCTCCAAGGAAATTCTTAGAAACGCCTTTGGGGTCAGGCACGGTGGCTCACCCTGTGATCCCAGCTACTCAGAGGCTGAGATCTGAGGACTGTGGTTCAAAAGCAGGCTGGGCAGGAAAGTCCGTGACACCCTTACCTCCAGTAAACTACTCAAAGTAGCGCTATAGCTTAAGGGGTAGAGCGCTAGCCTTGAGCCAAAGAAGCTCAGGGACAGGGCCCAGGCCCTGAGTTCAAGCCCCAGCACCAGCCCGCGTGCACGCACACGCACACGCACACACACACACTGCACTTTGGACCGGAGGTGTGGCTTAAGTGGTGGAGAGCCAGGGATGAGCAAGCAAGCTAAGTGAGCACAAGCCTCTGAAGTTGAGTCCAGGTCCTATCAATCAATCAATGGATAAACGCCCCTGGCCGGGTGCTGAGGGCTCGGCTCAGCAGTCATCTGAGCCACTCAGGCGGCTGAGACGGGGAGGAGCACAGATTGAAGCCAGTCCAGGTAACCAGCAAAAAGCTGGACCTGGAGGCATGGCTCCAAGGGTAGAACATCAGCCATGAACAAGAAAGCCAAGTGAGAGAGAGACGCCCAAGATCAGGCCCTGGTTCCAACCCCCACACAAAAGAGAAGGAGGGAGGAGGGATGGAGGGAGGCGGAGCAGTCCCCGGGTGTAAGCTTGAGTCGTGGACAGTGCGCACGCTCACAGGACGGCAGGAGGCAGACATAGTTGCCGTCCAGGGGCCTGGGGTCCAGGCCTGGCTGCCCGGGTGCTGCTGGAACGCTCGGTGCCCCGCGCTTGGAGCTGGGACAAGAAGCCCGTGAGGAAGTCTCCAGCGTCTCCAGCGCCTCCCCAGCATCTCCCCAGCGTCTCCAGTGCCTCCCCAGCGTCTCCCCAGCATCTCCCCAGTGCCTCCCCAGCGTCTCCCAGTGTCTCCAGCGCCTCCCAGTGTCTCCAGCGCCTCCCAGTGTCTCCAGCGCCTCCCAGCCTCCCCAGCATCTCCCAGCGTCTCCCCAGCACCTCCCAGCGTCTCCAGTGCCTCCCAGTGTCTCCAGCGCCTCCAGCACCTCCCAGCATCTCCAGTGCCTCCCAGTGTCTCCAGTGCCTCCAGCACCTCCCAGCATCTCCAGTGCCTCCCAGTGTCTCCAGCGCCTCCCAGCGTCTCCCAGTGCCTCCCAGCATCGCCCCAGTGTCTCCAGCGCCTCCCCAGTGTCTCCCAGCGTCTCCAGCGCCTCCCAGCATCTCCAGCGCCTCCCAGCATCTCCAGAGCCTCCCAGCATCTCCAGCGCCTTCCAGCGTCTCCAGCGCCTCCCAGCACCTCCCTGGTGTCTCCAGCGTCTCCAGTGCCTCCCAGCGTCTCCCAGCGCCTCCCCAGTGTCTCCAGCGCCTCCCAGCGTCTCCAGTGCCTCCCAGCGTCTCCAGTGCCTCCCAGCATCTCCCCAGTGTCTCCAGCGCTTCCCAGCGTCTCCAGCGCCTCCCAGCGTCTCCAGCGCCTCCCAGTGTCTCCAGCGCCTCCCAGCGTCTCCAGCGCCTCCCCAGTGTTTCCAGCGTCTCCGGACGTCTCCCAGCGTCCCCCAGTGTCTCCCAGCGGGGCACGCTGCTGCCTGGGGTGGTTCACAAGCAGGCAGGGCTGAGGGGCCACTGGCACTACCTGGGGTGGGAGATGGAGCTGCAGCACTGTTGCCCAGGCTGCACGGCACCACGCCACATGGGCACCACGCCAGGCGGGCACCACGCCGCGCGGGCACCACGCCGCACGGGCACCACACCGCACGGGCACCGGCGGGCTTGAGGCTGCAGTGCTTGAGGAGGGGATGGTGCGAGGGGAGGTGGCAGACCCTGGCCTCATTGGGGGCCCTGCAGTGGGCAGGGAAGGGGGTGCAGGGCTCACACAGGGTGGCGATCTGCCCGTGGCCTGGCACTCAACACACGGCCCTTCCATGCCCGTTTCCCTGGCCGGCAGGCAGCGGGGCCAGGAGGTCAAGGGGGCAGAGCCTCCTCCCGCGTCAGCCCAGCTGGGCCCCAGGGCTGTGCGCACTGTGCTGAAGCCCGGGGACATAAGAAAGCCACCGAGGAGCCACGGGAGCCGGCCAGCCCCTGTGCGCAGGGTGGAGGGGCTCCCCCCGCCTGTGTGCGGGGCAGAGGGGCACCATCCTTCACAGGGAGCTGTCTGTCCTGGCAGACGCTGGCAGCTGCCGGCTGCGGCTCGGCCTCACGGGGTGCATCCTGTGCGGAGCGGCGCCCCAGGCCCGGGGCACGAGGGGCGCGGGCGGCAGGGCTCCCTGCCGGGAGAGGGGCAGGCACCCGCAGACGGCTCTGGGGGCAGGCAGGTGACCACAGCGGGCTGACACGCACGCACACACCTGCACTGGGAATGAGCAGCCGTGAGGTGCCTGACAGGTGCGGGAGGAGATGCACTTAACAGAAGGGGTCACCGAGCGGGAGCGGAGTTAAAGGCGCGCATTCTGTGCACAGGAGTTATATTTCTGGCTGCAGTCGCATGTTGGTCCCCACTGCCAACAGCTCAGATTCACAGCGCATCCACACCTTCCTCCCGAGGGTGCTGGGCCAGGCCCGCGTGGCATCTTACCTTCTTCACGAGGTTCAGCTTGTCCGGGGCGTGGTCAAAAAGCGTGTCGAAGGCGTCCCGCTCTGCAGATGCGTGGATGAGAGGGGGAGAAGGGTTAGGAGGCAGCAGTGCCGCTCTGACCCCGACCGCTGGGATGTGTGCCAATTCCCGACCACGTAGAGCCTGAGTGTGCACTGGTTTTTGCCACGGCCGCAGGCAAGTCTGGCACCAAGCCTGGGCACAAGCAGGGGACACAGCCCACTGTGGAGCAGCCATGGAAGATCAGACCCAGAGATGAGAAGGTGGTGTGTGCGTGTGTGAGCGTGCGCACACGCTGGGCCTGGGTGCTGCCCCTTTGTTTTTCACTAAAGGCTGGCGCTCTGCCACTTGAGCCACAGCTCCGCTTCCACCTCTTTTGGTGGTTCCTGACCGGCTTTGGATCCCAGTCTCTGGAGTAGCTGGGACTACAGGCATGAGCACTTCTGCACCCCCATTCAGCACCCTCCCCCTTGCCAGGCTCAGACCATCCACCCTCCCCAGCAGGCCGGGAGCCAGTGGCTCCCGCCTGTAATCCCAGACACCTGGGGAGCCGAGATGTGAGGATCGAGGTTTGAAGCCAGCCTGGACACCCTCAGGACAGAGCCCATCCACACTCCTGTGGGCTTCCTGTGGGCCACAGAAAGCTCGGCCTCAGCTGCCCTTCCCAGAATTCACTCTCCTGACCAGCTTCCCCGGCCGTGCACACCTGGCCCTGGTCTAACCCCCCTCCCTCCCCAACCCGGGGCAGGTTTTCTTGAAATGATTCTTGACTGGCTCTTTGCTGTCCGCTGAGCCTTTAGCCCCTAGTGGCTGTCTCTGGCTCCAGGACAGAAGGGCTGGCAGTGGTGGTCAGCCACCACCTGGGGACTCCGGGAGCCCTGGGGTGTGCTCTGAGGACAAGGCTGACAGGGGTCAGAGGTGAGGATGGGCGGGGCTGCGTGAGGGAGGGGAGGAGCACGGAAGACGAGCCCAGTGGCGGGAGAGGAAGCGGTGGAGAGATACTGGCCAGGCTTTCTCCCCACCCCGGCCCCAAGACCAGGTGCGGGGCAGCAGGGCGGGAGGCCGCTCCTGCCAGCCCAGCCCTCCGGCCCCTGCCTTAGCCTGGGGTGGGGGGAGGGAAAGAAGGCACCTGCGTGTTGCACACGTGTGCACACGTGCACATGTGTGTGGCCTGGTGTGTGCACACGTGGGGGGGAGGGGCTGTGGGGCCCCGGGGACCCCAGGCCGCCGCTCCTCCCCCAGCAGCAGATGTAAATTATTCTCCAGCCCCTGTAAGTCAGATTATCCTCCCCAAGACAGCTGTTCAGGGGCGAAACGGCAGCTAAGTCCCCATGAGCCATCGCAAACTTTCAAAGCCGCTTAAGCAAAGCCTGACGTCAGTGGTAAATTTAGCTGGGCCACCGCTGGGGGGTGGACTCAGCCTCACGGGGGGGCGGGGGGGGGGGGGGGGGGGGGGGGCGCGCGGTCCTGCGAACCTTGGCCATGGCTCACCTGCACCCAGGAGATCGGCTGGGATGGGGGCGCTCTGGCTGCAGAGTCTGGGTCAGGCCCTGGGGAAGGCCAGGCTGGGGGATGGGCAGGGCAAACTGGAGGTACAGTCCCGTGGGGCCAGGGCCAGGCCGACTGGGGTCCTGGGATCGCCAGATAGGACGCACACTCGTGCTCGCTCCTCATGGGGACCGTGGAAAACTGTCTCCATGTCTGGCCCCAGAGCCCGAGGCTCCTGGCTTTTCTTGCAGAGCAGGAAGCTGGCCGCGCTTGGGGACGGCCACCACACCAGGCAAAGGGCAGCTGTCTGTCACAGCTGACATGATGGCCTGGCCACATCCCCTCCCAGGACCCAGAGGTCCGAAGGGGTGGGGGTGCCCCGGGAGGGCGGGCCTTGGCCTCAGAGCTCTCCAGCTGCTGTGAGAAGCAGGGAAGGAAGGCATCACAGGCAGAAGAAACAATGTGCCGGGTCCTCAACAGCTCAGCGTTGCCAGGCCCCAGGGGCTCACGCGGGAAACCCCAGCTGCTCAGGAGGCTGAGATGTGAGGATCCCGGTTCAAAGCCGGCCCGGGCAGGAAGGTCAGTGAGACTCTTATCTCCAAGGAACCACCAGAAAACCTTGCTCAAGAGCAAGGTGACCAGTGAGGGAGGCCGGCGGGGCCAGCACTGACCAAGCAAGGTGACCAGTGAGGGAGACTGGCGGGGCCAGCGCTGACCGAGAGCAGAGTGACCGGTGAGGGAGGCTGGCAGGGCCTGCACTGACCGAGCAAGGTGACCAGTGAGGGAGACTGGCGGGGCCAGCGCTGACCGAGCAAGGTGACCAGTGAGGGGCCAGCGCTGACCGAGAGCAGAGTGACCGGTGAGGGAGGCTGGCAGGGCCTGCACTGACCGAGCAAGGTGACCAGTGAGGGAGACTGGCGGGGCCAGCGCTGACCGAGCAAGGTGACCAGTGAGGGAGGCCGGCGGGGCCAGCACTGACCGAGAGCAGGGTGACCAGTGAGGGAGGCTGGCGGGGCCAGCACTGACCAAGCAAGGTGACCAGTGAGGGAGGCCAGCGGGGCCAGCGCTGACCGAGCAAGGTGACCAGTGAGGGAGGCTGGCGGGGCCAGCGCTGACCGAGCAAGGTGACCAGTGAGGGAGGCTGGCGGGGCCAGCGCTGACCGAGAGCAGAGTGACCAGTGAGGGAGGCTGGCGGGGCCAGCACTGACCAAGCAAGGTGATCAGTGAGGGAGGCCAGCGGGGCCAGCGCTGACCGAGCAAGGTGACCAGTGAGGGAGGCTGGCAGGGCCTGCACTGACCGAGCAAGGTGACCAGTGAGGGAGACTGGCGGGGCCAGCGCTGACCGAGCAAGGTGACCAGTGAGGGAGGCCGGCGGGGCCAGCGCTGACCGAGAGCAAGGTGACCAGTGAGGGAGGCCGGTGGGGCCAGCACTGACCAAGCAAGGTGACCAGTGAGGGAGGCCGGCGGGGCCAGCGCTGACCGAGCAAGGTGACCAGTGAGGGAGGCTGGCGGGGCCAGCACTGACCAAGCAAGGTGACCAGTGAGGGAGGCCGGCGGGGCCAGCGCTGACCGAGAGCAAGGTGACCAATGAGGGAGGCCGGCGGGGCCTGTCCTATGGTAGGGTCAGCCGCCGGGGCCTTGGCATCAGGTCAGTTTTTTTATTTCTGTGCAGTGCTGGGGCTTGAATTCAGGGTCCAGGCACTGGTCCTTGGCTTTTTCCCTCACAGCTGCACTCTACCACTTGAGTCATGACGCTACTTCCAGCGTTTTGCTGGTTAATTGGAGATAAGAGCCTCGTGGATTTTCCTGCCTGGGCTGGCTTTGAACTTTGCTCCTCAGATCTCAGCTTTCTGAGTGGCTAGGATTAAGGTCTTGAGCCGCCAGCACCGGGCTAGGGCAGGGTCTGGAGCAGCCAGGCTGGCAGGAATGGGGAGATGGGAAGGGGAGAGGCTAGAGGACCCCGTGCCCCTGTCCTGACAGCTCAGGGAGGACTCAGCCCGAGCCAGCGCCGGCGGAGGAGGGGTGCCTTCCACTCAAGAGCAACCAGCAGAGCCGTTGTCATGGAGATCAGGCTACAACCTGGGCTCCCAAGAGGGAGAGAAAAGCCTGCTTGGGGGTGGGGAGGGAATGCACCTGCCACAGCCCCGGGATGCGGCCGGCGTGGAGCTCAGAGCGGCACAGGAGAAAGCAGGGGCCCAGCAAAGCCTGAAGGCAGCCTTTAGCCCAGGAGGGTCTGCCTGGAGTTCCAGAGGCTTCCGGAAGCTCCGACGGCTCCTGCCTGCAGACCCCGCCACAGAGGGCCCAGGCCACCGGCAGGACGCTCCAGCCCGCAGGACACGTCACAGAGCTGGGGCGCAGGATGGGGAGGGGTGCCATCCATCCCACTGCCCCAGCCTGCCAGGTGCACACAGGAAGGCCGGCGTGCACAGTCACAGCCATGAGCACACACACACACACACACGCAGGCCGGCGTGCGCAATCACCGCCATGAGCACACACACACACACGCAGGCCGGCGTGCGCAATCACCGCCATGAGCACACACACACACACACACACACGCAGGCCGGCGTGCGCAATCACAGCCATGAGCACGCACATGCACGCACACACACGCAGGCCGGTGTGCGCAATCACAGCCATGAGAGTGTGCACACACACACACACAGGCCAGCATACACAATCACAGCCATGAGAGCGTGCACACACACACACGCAGGCCGGCGTGCGTAATCACAGCCATGAGAGCGTGCACACACACACACGCAGGCTGGCGTGCGTAATCACAGCCATGAGCATGCACGTGCACACACACACACGCAGGCCGGCGTGCGTAATCACAGCCATGAGAGCATGCACACACACACACACACAGGCCGGCGTGCGTAATCACAGCCATGAGCACACACGGACGTGTACACGTGTTCACACACGTGTGCACAAACACACAGGCTGGTATGTGCAATCACAACCATGAGCACGCACAGACGTGTGTTCACACGCGTGCACACACACACAGGCTGGCGTGTGCAATCACAGCTATGAGAGTGCGCACACACACACACGCAGGCTGGCGTGTGCAATCACAGCTATGAGAGCGTGTACACACACACACGCAGGCCGGCGTGCACAATCACAGCCATGAGCACACACACACACAGGCTGGCGTGTGCAATCACAGCTATGAGAGCGTGTACACACACACACACGCAGGCCGTTGTGCGCAATCACAGCCCATGAGCACGCACGGACGTGTGCACGTGTTCACACACGTGTGAACAAACACACAGGCTGGTATGTGCAATCACAACCATGAGCACGCACAGACGTGTGTGTTCACACGCATGCACACACATGCAGGCTGGCGTGTGCAATCACAGCTATGAGAATGTGCACCCGTGTGAGCATGTTCACACACGCGCGCGCACACACACGCAGGCTGGCGTGTGCAATCACAGCTATGAGAATGTGCACCCGTGTGAGCATGTTCACACACGCGCGCGCACACACACGCAGGCTGGCGTGTGCAATCACAGCCATGAGAATGCGCACACACACACACATGAAGGCTGGCGTGTACAATCAGTCTTGAGCACACGCACGCACAAGCCACCCTGAGCATGATGACTGCAGCGGCAAGCCTGCCGGGTGGAGTACAGGAGCCAGCAGATGCCAGTTCAGGGTGGGGGGGTCGATGTCAAGTGACAACCCCCCAGAGCTGAGGGCGTGAGTCACAGAGCCATCTAGAAGGAGTGCGTCTCAGCGGGGCGTGCTCACAGCGCTGGGAGCCCCAGGCTGGTCTGTACACTTGGGGGAGAGGAGCCAGGCAGGAGGAGGCTGTCTGGGGTCCCCACAGGGCTATGGGCGAAGCAGATTGTTTAGGGGCACTTTAGGCCCCCCAACAATGGGATTTGCACCCGCAGATGGAAGAGCAGGCCGAGCCCAGGGCCCAGGGAGGAGCCTGTGCCCCTAGGAGGAGGCGCGGGGTCTGGAGGGCCGTGACCGGGAGCCCTCAGCAAGCAGGGCCCGGCCGAGCCCAGGAGCCCCCCCCCCCCCCCCGTGCCGGTGCTGGTCAGGTCGCTAGGAGACTGTGCAGCCTGCGTCAGAGCGGCGGGGGCGGGACTAATTGCCTGTCACCGGCTAATAGCCTGTTTCAGCTCTCGCGCTGGGTGAAGAGGAGAATAATGCGGGCCGCTCGCTCATGGCCTCAAATGTCCTCGCGCTCCCGTCGCACACCTGGCCGTGGCCCCAGGGCCGCCCCGCGCCTGGGCCCGCAGGGCCCTCCCGAGGCTGCCCGCTCCACCACCCCACGGCCCAGCTCCCCCTCAAGTCCACCAAACTGGAGCCCAGGCTGAGCCACGGACCCCGGAGTCCTGGAGGTGTCCGAGCCTTGCCAGGCTGACCGAGAGGCCTCAAACCAGCCTCCACCTGGACACGTTCAGGGTCGCACGCAGGCTCGTGGCCGCCCCCACCCCACAGGTCACCTCTGGGGACTGTTAATGGATGATACAGATTGAGGGAGTGAGCTGCTTTAAAAAGCATCAGCAGCGCCTCTAACCTTTCCCAGCACTGCCTCAGTCTACCAGAGAGAGCTCGGGCCCACAGAGCTGCTCCAGACCTTTCAAAGAAGCCACGCGCCGGTGGCTCACATCTGTCATCCCAGCTACTCGGGAGGCTGAGATCTGAGGAGCACAGTTCAAAGTCAGCTCAGGCAGGAAAGTCTGAGTGACTCATCTCCAATGAACTGCCAAAAAGCCAGAAGTGAAGCGATGGCTCAGTTGGTAATATTAGCTTTGCGCAAACTCAGGGACAGCATCCAGGCCTTGAGTTCAAGCCCCAGGACTGGCACAACGCGCACACACACACGAATATATGTAGCTCACATATAGTCATGTATTTCACACACACACACACACGTATTCACACACACGTACCCCAAGGGAGTGCCACTGGCCAGGCTGCGGCCCTTGCTCCTGCCCCTGGGGGCAGGGAGCTGACACAGCCGCCACTGCCTTCGCCAGGTCACACAGGGGTGGGGCATGGGTCCCGGCTTTAGCGGGGTGCAGGGTGGGTGACCTGGCCCCTTTGGGAATAGCCCTGACAACTCAGGAATCCAGGCGCGGTCACAGGCTTGGTGAGGCACCGCGGGCACCCTGCTCTGGGCACCGGGCCTGAACTGTCCCCCCACAGGGAGCAGATGTCTGAGCGGCCAGGCCGGTGGCCTGACCGCAGGGAGATCTGCAAAGAGCAGAGGCCTGGGGGGTACTGGGTCCCTCGAGGGACCCTCCTCCCTCCCGGTACCCCACAGTGACAGAGGGGCCTCATCCCCAAAGCTCCCCCTCCCCCCTGCTCCAGGAAAGGACCTGGAGCCCCGCCCCACCCCCCACAGGAGCACGTGAGCCAAGGGCTGCTGGGACAGTGCTGGTGTGCCCAAGACCCTCCAATTGCCTCGGCCCCGGCTACTTACCAAACCTGCCCGTCATCATCCTGCAGAGAGAGAGAGAGAGCGTGCCATCAGGCAGTGACTGGGACCCACCCTGGTGAGCCGACCCCATGCTGGGCAGAGCTGGCCAGGCTCCCACTGTGCTACGCTCTGTGCAGCTCTCATGACGGGCAGAGCACTCGCACGGGTGCCGCCACCCCCTCTTCCCAGGCCCTCTGGAGGGGGTGGGGGTGGGAATGCCAAGGAGGGGCGGGCGCAGCCCGGCAGCCTGGGCACCAGAGGGGCAGCGATGACGGTCCCCGCGCCCGGGTGCTCTGCCCCTGCCCAGTGCTGCCCAGCACCACCAGCAGGCCTGTTCCCCTCCCCAAACCACACTCTGAGCACGCCCCTTGGCTCCATCTTATCTACTGTGTTTACTTGAGCATCTACTATGTGGGCACCAGGGAGACAGACACCCCACAGTGCACCGAGGACAGGGTGTCTCCTAGGCCATTGTTTCTCCCAGGCTGGACACATAGTAGGAGCAGAAAGGAAGCCCTGCACTCCTGCTTAGCCGATCAGAGTGCTTCCTGGAGGAGGGGACCTCATGGCTGCCTCTTGGCCACTAGAAGGGGCCAAGACCAGAGGAGGCGCGCAGGGATGATACCATTAATAACCTAGCAGATCTCTGTGGCTGCAGAGGGGATCATGAGACTGGCGGCCTGGGACAAGCCTGGTGGTGACAAGGGGTGGCGGGGTCCCACTTAGACCAGCCCAAGAGCAAACGCCCCCTCCCAGCCCAGCCCTGATGGCCAGTGGCACCAGCATCAGAGGCTGGCGAAACGACCCAGGTGGTTTCCTGGGTATAGACAAGCAAGGCCCCGTCCCCCCCCCCCCGCTTGTACCCCAGATCCCCTCCGCTGCTCCCCCTGCTGCCGGGTCCCAGCCATGCAGGCAGAGACGACCATCCACCCCACAGTGGTCCTCCGCCCTCCAGGACAAGGCCTGGGGCTCCCTAGGGGCAGTGGGGGAGGGGAGTAGGGAAAGAGGAGCCCTGTGCACTCGTGGGCTGTGGGAGGACTGTGCACTCGTGGGCTGTGGGAGGACTGTGCACTCGTGGGCTGCGGGAGGACTGTGCACTCGTGGGCTGTGGGGAGGACTGTGCACTCGTGGGCTGTGGGAGGACTGTGCACTCGTGGGCTGTAGGACTGTGCACTCGTGGGCTGTGGGAGGACTGTGCACTCGTGGGCTGCGGGAGGACTGTGCACTCGTGGGCTGCGGGAGGACTGTGCACTCGTGGGCTGCGGGAGGACTGTGCACTCGTGGGCTGTGGGAGGACTGTGCACTCGTGGGCTGGAGGACTGTGCACTCGTGGGCTGCGGGAGGACTGTGCACTCGTGGGCTGTGGGGGCTGTGAGGCCGTACCCTTGCCTCTGCTGGCCCCAGGGCCACTCCACAGCTTCAGGCAGCGTGCACATGCGTGCACACGCGCACCCGCGTGGCTGGTGTCTGGGTCGGCCCATGTGTGAAAGGCCTCACGGGGCTTCAGAACCCCGTCATTAAGCCCTGGCTGGAGCTAGGGGTTCGGCGGAGACCACGGCCGTGCCTCCTCTGAAGTGGGTTTTATGCGTGGACATTTCACCCCTTTAGGGGTGTCCTGACGGCTCCAGAAGCCACACAATATGCCCGCAGCTTTGCTGATTTCAAGAGGGGTGCAGTTTTTTAGATGTCTTTAAAAAAAAAACTAACTAAAAAAGACATGCCCTGGCTTTTCCTAACAGACCAGAGATGCTGGCTTAGTGATGTCTGCCAAAGAAAAGTTCTAGTTGGAAAGTTCTGGAAAGTGTGAGGTAGCCAGCCAAGGGGAGGGACGGCAGCAGTGGGTCACCGAGCTGGGCGCACCCCTCCCGCCCACCTGCCCGCATGGCCCCTCCCCTGCACAGGTACCGAACCAAAACGCCTTGGAAAGTTGCTCGGTTCTAATGTGGAAACAGAGAGAGAGAGAGGGAGAGAGACAGAGAGAGACACAGAGACAGAGACAGACAGACAGACAGAGACACAGAGACAGAGACACAGACAGAGAGAGACAGAGAGACAGACAGAGACACAGAGACAGAGAGACAGAGAGAGACACACACAGAGAGAGACAGAGAGACAGAGAGAGACAGAGACAGACAGAGAGACACAGAGAGAGACAGAGAGACAGACAGACAGAGAGAGACACAGAGACAGAGACACAGACAGAGACAGAGAGACAGAGACAGAGACAGAGAGACAGAGAGAGACACACACAGAGAGAGAGACAGAGAGACAGAGAGAGACAGAGAGACACAGAGAGAGACAGAGAGACAGACAGACAGAGAGAGACACAGAGAGACAGAGAGACAGACAGAGAGAGACACAGAGACAGAGAGACACAGAGAGAGACAGAGAGACAGAAAGAGAGAGAGGGAGAGAGACAGAGAGACACAGAGAGAGAGACACAGAGAGAGACAGAGAGACAGAGACAGAGACAGACAGAGAGACAGAGACAGACAGAGAGACACAGAGAGAGACAGAGAGACAGACAGAGAGACACAGAGACAGACAGACAGAGACAGAGACAGAGAGAGAGAGAGCGCCCCAGGAGGAAGGAGAGCCAGGTGCGGGGTGTGGCCCATGAAAGCGCATTTAAGTTAAGGGGTCCCAGGGGCAGGCCGCCCTGGGCCACGTCCCACCCCCAGGGCCTTGCTGGGGCAGCCGGCGGCCCAGGGCAGGGGTTCACTCACTCTGTGGTTGTGGTCAGCTCCTCTGAGACGTGGCTGGAATGCAGGAGGCCTTCCCGCTTCTGAAAACCCCAAAAACACAGATAAACACCCAGACACGCCGGCAGGGCAGCGGTGAGGATGCAGGGGTCACGGGCAGGCTGGCGGGGGGGGGGGGGCTGGCGCAGAGGTCCTGGGGCTGGAGTCCCTTTGAGATGGGGACAGCAGGATGAAGGGGTGCCCGGTGCCTGCCCCATGCCCGGGCACAGGTGCAACCCGCACCCGGGACCAGCCCCCCACCCTTCCCCCTTCTCCCACTCCCCAGGGAATGCTGGGACACCGGGGAGACGCAGGGAGACAATTCACTGACGTGGGAGTGGACGGGTCCCCAAACCCAGCCAGGGACCAGACACGGGAACAGACAAAGGTCACGGGGCCTGGGACGGTCCACGCCCCCGGGAGCTCAGCGAAGCCACTGCCGCCGTAGCCAGCGGCTCTGCAGAACTTCCTGATGGTGGGCCGCTCACTTCCTGTGAGGGAGCCTCGCACAGACGCTGCCCAGGATGGGGGTGGGCCTCCTCCCTCCCCTCCCACTGCCTGGGCAGGGAGAACTCTCGTGGGAAGTGATAGCCGGGCGCAAACACCCGCTCAGGGCCCCAGTCCTGATGGAGCAAAGCCCAGAGGAAGAGCCCACAGACATGCTCTTCGCGGCACACGGTCAAGGTTCACCAGGCATTTGAAGTGCCACAGGGGGATCACCTCAGCACTGTGAAATCACCACCCACCGCGGCCACGCTGGACAGACGTGGCCTTCAACCATCCATCCACCAAAACTCCCTGCCTCGTTTCCCTGGCTCAGACCAGGCAGCTGGCCCCCGGGGCAGGGGGAGGCGGGGGGGGGGGCAGCTCTGGGGAACCCTCCCCCAGGGTTCAGGCTGGCCAGCCCCTCCCTCCTGGCTTCCTTCTCCTAGGGGTAAGGCCTAAGGAATCCGATGACCTGGTCAAGAGAGACGGAGAGAGCCGGAAAGAGCTTGAGGGGCAGGCCGACTTTCCACACAAGCCCAGAGATGATCTTGGCCCCAACTCCAAGCTGAAAGGAAATCCCCCATCCCCTGGGCCTGCACACAGGGGGTTCAGGAACCCGAGTTCCCACATGTCCTCTCCCGGCTGGCTGCCTGGGAACCGGCCCCAGGGCCCGCGTTGCCCCCCCCCCCGGGATCACACACACACACACACACACACTCACACACACACACACACACGTGTCCCCAGGAGGACGGAGGAATGACTGGCCACACGGCCTGGTGCAGGGAAGGGCCTTCCCGCCAGGTCACAGAGGAGCCAGTGTGGCCTCAGAACACAGCCCAGCCAGGGCCTTCCCAGGCCACGGAGACCACGGCACTGGGACGCTCAGAACCCACAGGAAGGCTGCGGCCAGATGCTTCCAGTAAAACACACATCCAGCCTCCTGGCGCAAGCTCAGCCACCGGCGGGTGTGGCATCTGTTTGCCTGCTGGTAAAACTGCCCCAGGAACCCCGGGTGCAGAGCCCCCCCCCCCCCGTGCTTCGAGGTGAGGAGAAAGGCTGATGGAGGCAGACCTACTTCTGACGCATCAGTCAGGCGCCAAGTCCTGGCTCCATTCCTCCCGTACATCAAGAGAAATGAACCTCAAAAAAAAAAGAAAGAGAGCCTGGGGCTCTTGGGTAAGAGCTTTAATGTGGGGCGCATCTCATCCTGCGGCTCTCAGCCCCTCTGGTGAGGAAAGAGACACTCAAGATGGCTGGATTCCCACGAGCTGGCTTTGGAAAGACACGAGCGTTCTTTTCAAAACCCTGGGAAATGAAACCTTAACTCTCCAGCCTCAGAAAATCAATGCTATTGTCCCAGCTCCACCGTTTATCTGGAAGCCAGGGCGAGATATAAATTGCAAGAGGGGACAACGAAGGTAGGCTCTTGGGGGGGGAGGGGGAGGGAAAGAAGTAACAGGAGAAGAAGGCCGTCTGTCCGTCTGCCCGTCTGTCCCCACCGGCACGCCCAGGCACTCACCCGCACCACCACCACCTGCACTGCCACTCTCTCCGGGAGGCGGATTGGTGCCCGGAAGTGCATGGCCAGGGCCACCAGCAGGTGCAGGATGGACACCAGGTTCTTCCCGTGGACGGCTGGCAGCAGGGGAAGGACGAGGGTGCATCAGGCAAGGTCTCCTGGACGGACGCAGGGCAGCCCCAGAGGCCAGGACGGAGCAGGCCGGCCCGCCGAGAACCAGACCCCCGACCCCTGAATCTATTTCTAGCTTCTAATGTTGCTCTGTGGGGCAAAGGTGACTCCTGCAATCACTTTTAAAAGCATCGTGCTTTTTTAAGAGCTGGAAAGTGGGGGCCCAAGAGGGAAGGACGGGTTGTGGCCGAGTACCTGTCACAAGGATGGGACACTGGGTCTGACGCTGAGCAATCAGCCCCCCACCTCCCACCCCGGTTGGTGGGTGAGGGTGACCCCTGCGCAGAGATGCCAGGTGTTAACCCCTGCACCACCAGGTTGGCCCTGGCTGCTTCTCACCCCCCGGCCCCGCCCCCCCAGGTTCTATCAGCAGCAGCACACAGGCTCCGGTGGCTCATGCCTGCAATCCCAGCCACTCTGAAGGCTGAGATCTGAGGACGGTGACTCAAAGTCAGCCCAGGCAGGAAAGTCTTCCAGACTCTTATCTCCCATTAACTAGCAAAAAGCCGAGGCGGAGCTGTGGTTCAAGTAGGAGAGGGCCAGCCTTGTGTGAAAAAGCTTGGGGACAGTGCCCAGGCCCAGAGTTCAAGCCCCAGCACCCCTGGGCAGAGCTTTAGTTTACAAGGCCCTCACTACCCCACTCATGGCCCCGTAATCCAGGAAGGCAGGCTAGCTCCACCCAAGGTCTCATGCCAAGGAATCGGGGTCGAGCCAGGTCCCTGCCCCACAGCCCAGAACTCGGCCCCAGAACCCCAAGTTCCTCAAGGCCAGCAAAAGCCCTGTGCGGTCGGGGGGCGGGGGGCTGAGAACAGCCACCTCTCCCTGTGCAGTGTCAGAGCTGGAGTGTGATGCCGCAGCCTCTGAGCCCGAGGCTGGCGGTCACCGGTGGCGCAGCTCGCCTGGGCTGGGCGGAACCCTCCCTGACCTGCCCAGCACCCCGGGGGACACGGCAGGTGCTGTCCCTGCAGTGGCGCTTGCTCGCCGTCCTCCCTCCCCACGGCTGCCCTCGGTGACGGAGGAGTGACCCCCCAGCTCTCACAGTCCACGCTCCAGCGCAGGGCCCAGCCGTGGGGCCGCAGCAGGTCCTGCACGGCTTCCAGAACCGTCTGTAGCTTCTGCTTCTGTCCTATCTCGGACTGGGTCACCTCGGCCACGTTCAGCTTGCAATCTGCCAGCTTTTCTGCAAGAAGGACGGGGCGGGGTGAGGACACCCCGGGGGCCCCCCAGGGTTAGAGATTGATGCCACAACCACCAAGGTCTTAGATGCAGCAAGGAGAACGGGAGCCGTTTCCAAGAGAACCACCGCATTCGATCAGCGCCGCAAGTGGACGACCAGAGCCCCGAGGCCAGCTCCTGCCAGCTTCCCAGGGAGGGGACATGGGGTGGCTTCAGCATCCCCCTCCCTCAGGACCAGCGTGCTGATGCCAGAGCATGGGCAGCACGGGTGTCCAGCCGGGCCAGGCCTAGAACCGCATCCCACCCTCGGCCCATGGCTTAGGAGAGGCGTCGCCGCCCCCAGCCCCCAGCATCAGGCGGGCAGCCCCAGGCCACCAAGACAACGCCTGCGGGGTGAATCCTGACTCCACAGCGTCCCCCACGCGGCCCGAGAAGGCCAGGCGACAGACGTGTCACCCCGTGGAAGGTGCTTGGAGCAGAGCCAGGCGCCAGAGCACGCTGCCAGGCTGGGCTGCGCTCAGAGTCCTCACCCGGAGCCCGCCTTTTCATTCACGCACCCCCACCCCCTCCCTCCCTCTTCATCCATTCATTCATCCCTGAGCCCTCCCCTCATTCATTCATTCATTCCAGAGCTCATCCCTTCCGGGTTACAGGTGAGGTGAGCTCAGGCCTTGGTCCTTGGCAGGGCCGGGCACGGGTTCTGAGAGCCACTGCGCCACCAGGCAGGACCGCAACGGGATTCACAGATTCCTCGTCCCACACCCGCTCTCAGCAGGAAGAGGAAAGCGCGCCCGCAGCAGGTGTGCGGGGCAGCCGAGGGGCAGGAGGCCCGAGGGCCCAAGGACACTCACCCAGGAGCTTCTGGAGCACCTGCCCGTCATACAGGTCCTCCTCCAGCTGCTTCACGATGATCCTCTCCTCCGCCAGCACGTCATTGATCCAGTCCAGCAGGGTCTGCGTGGAGGCAGGCATGGGCCATGCGGCAGGAGGGAGGGCGTGGGGACAGGAGAGAGGACGTGGGGACAGGAGGGAGGGCGTGGGGACGGGAGGGAGGACGTGGGGACGGGAGGGAGGGTGTGGGGACGGGAGGGAGGACGTGGGGACAGGAGTGAGGACGGGGGGGAGGACGTGAGGATGTGGGGACGGGAGGGAGGACGTGAGGACAGGAGAGAGGACGTGGGGACGGGAGGGAGGACGTGGGGATGGGAGGGAGGGCGTGGGGACGGGAGGGAGGACATGAGGACAGGCAGACAGGCGTGGGGACAGGAGGGAGGGCGTGGGGACGGGAGGGAGGACGTGGGGGCAGGAGGGAGGACGTGGGGACGGGAGGGAGGACGTGGGGATGGGAGGGAGGACATGAGGACAGGCAGACAGGCGTGGGGACAGGAGGGAGGGCGTGGGGACGGGAGGGAGGACGTGGGGGCAGGAGGGAGGGCATGAGGACAGGCAGACAGGCGTGGGGACAGGCCATGAGCAGCACACCTGCCATCACTGTGACAGTCACCACGCAGCCTGGTGGCCACAGGACAAGACGAGTGCCCCTCCATCTATACCAGATCAGAGTGGGGCGACCCCCCCGAGACCCAGGAGCCCTGGCGAGAACAGGTGGACCTGCTCTTCCTCCTGGGATGATGGGCAGTGGGGTGCTTGGGGCACGGGGTTTGTGGACCCCCTGGACATAGGGTGGACATGAGTGCTGCTGTCCAACAGGACAGAAGACCCCGGAGTCCCCACACACACATGCACACGCACACACACACACAGGAAAGAAGACCCCGGAGTCACACACACACACATGCACACGCACATACACACACACACGCACACACACACAGAGGAAAGAAGACCCCGGAGTCCCCTACACACACACATGCACACACACACACACGCACACGCACACACACACACAGAGGAAAGAAGACCCCAGAGTCCCCCACACACACACATGCACACACACATACATTCACGCATGCAGGCACACACACAGGAAAGAAGACCCCGGAGTCCCCCCCACACACACATCACACACACAACGCACGCACGCACGCACGCACGCACGCACTCACGCACACACTCACACACCGCCTCGATCTCTGACCTGGTACAAACACAAACACAAAAACAACCACAGAAAGATCAGAACCGCACTCCACGCCGCCCTGAGCGCGGCCCAGGCGCTGGCCTCTGGGCCCTGGGTCCTTATCGTGGTCCACAAATCTGCTCCTAGCACAGCCTGGGCCATTATTTTCAGGGCCGGGCAATGCCTCTGACATGGTTTGTGATGAGCATACCGCGCTCTATCATGGACTGTCCACCAGCCTGCTTCAAACTGAATAAAAAATCACTGCTCCTCTCCATCCTTCTGAAATAGAATCGGGACCTGCGGCCCGTCCCCCGGAGCTGTGACAGTTATGTTTTAATCAGGTCCAGAGTCCTGGCTGAGGAAGCCATGGGACTGTGGGCCCACTGCAGGAAGCCGGAGGTGGAGGCAGGAGAGGAAAGGGGCTGGGGATGGGGCCAGGAGGCTGACGGAGGCCGGAGAGACAGGAGGCTGGAGGCAGATAGAGGCCAGGGACAGGAGAGGCAGGAGGCTGGAGGGAGGCAGGAGAGGCAGGAGGCTGGAGGGAGGCAGGAGAGGCAGGAGGCAGGAGAGGTAGGAGAGGCAGGAGGCAGGAGAGGCAGGAGAGGCAGGAGAGGTGGGAGGGAGGCAGGAGAGGCAGGAGAGGCAGGAGGCTGGAGGGAGGCAGGAGAGGCAGGAGGCAGGAGAGGTAGGAGAGGCAGGAGGCAGGAGAGGCAGGAGGCAGGAGAGGCAGGAGAGGCGGGAGGGAGGCAGGAGGCTGGAGGGAGGCAGGAGGCTGGAGGCTGGAGGGAGGCAGGAGGCTGGAGGGAGGCTGGTCACACTGGCTACTGCACTGCCTCCACTTCAGCCAGAAATCACATCGTTGCAGCCGACTTTCTTCCAGGCAACGAGAGGAGAAAATCAGGACTTGCAGGTGGGAGCAGCTGTGTCTGGTGGGGTGGGGTGGCGGCCTGTGGTCCGCTCGGAGGCACCCAGCCTCAGCCTGAGCCCCCGCCCTGCCCTGCCCCGCAGGGGCTCTGCTCCACCCTGCTCTGGTCAGTCTGTGGCCACTCGGCCTCCTACAGTGACCCACCACGGGTAAGAGTGCAGCCCACACGCCAGGCGCGGGGCTCCAGCTGTCATCCCAGAGACTCAGGAGGCTGCGATCTGAGGACCGAGGTTCAAAGCCAGCCCAGGCAGGAAAGTCCGGGAGACTCTCATCTCTAATTATCCACCGGAAAACCAGAAGTGGAGCTGTAGCTCAAGTGGTAGAGCACACTAGCCCTGGGCAAAAAAGCTCAGGGACAGCACCCAGGCCTAGAGTTCAAGTCCCAGGACCAAAACACACACACACACACACACACACACACACACACACACACACACACACACACACACACACACACACACACACACACAATATCAACCAATCAAAATTTCAAAAAGCCAAAATCAGCTAGAGGCATGGCAAGTGTGAGGTCTTGAGTTCAAATCCCAATCTGGTCAAAAAACAGAAAAGCAGAACCAGCCGGCCAGGGGCCAGGGCGGGGTCGGCCTCCTCCAGGAGCAGCCCAGGCCGGTGGCCCGCCCTGTACGAAGGCCCAGAACAGGCCCCCGGTGCCAGACGCCCTCACCTTGACCAGCTCCTTGAACTTGGGGTCCTCACGAGACACAGGGTCGATCATGGTGCGCTCCTCATTCTCCTCTGCGGGACCAAAGACCACAGCTGGTCTCCTCCCGCCCAGCCGCCGCGGAGACCCCACACAGCCCGGCAGGGACAGGAGGCCACAAACCAGAAGTGGAACCGTGGTTCAAGTGGTAGAGCACAGCCTTGAGCAAAAACAGCTCAAAGACAGTGCCAGGCCCTGAGTTCAAGCCCCAGGAGGGGCACTCCCAGGATAGAAACCTGTCAGAGAGGGCTGGCGTCTCCGTGAGCCTCAAACATGACTCCCCCAAGGCCTGAAGCTTAATGTCCCCTGTAGGGTCCCACCCCAAGCCACGGGCCCCAGGAAGGCTGGGCCAGCCGGGCAGTACCAAGCTGGGTGTCTTCCGGGTGGACGTCCACCGCAGCCGGGGACATCGGGGCGTTGATGGCGCTCTTGCCTTCTTCCTGCAGGTCGCTCACTGCCGGGCACAGAGGAGGGAGGTGGCGTCAGGTGGAGGGAGGGACCAGCCTCCAAGGCTGTGAACTCATGTTTTCCACAAGCAGGGTCTCCGTTCCCCACACCGGTCAGTGAGGACCAAGTATCTTGGTCAGTGTCCCCTCTCCCGCTGCATCCCAGCCTCGCCCAGCCCTGCCCCACGCTGCCAGGCTCCGCGTCACATATGAACACCGTCAGGATCACCATGTTGCCCCTGTGCTCCCCACTCCAGACCATTTCCAGCTTGTTTTTTTTGTCAGTTGTGGGACTTGAACTCAGGGCCTGGACACTGTCCTGCAGCTCTTCAGCTCAAGGCGAGCACTCTACCACTTGAACTATAGCACCACTTCCGATTTTCTGGAGGTTAGTTGGAGATAAGAGTCTCACGGACTTTCCTGCCTGGGCTGGCTTTGAACCATGATCCTCAGATAGCCTCCTGAGTAGCTAGGATTACAGGCGTGAGCCACCAGCGCCTGGCTCTATTTCCAGCTTTTAAGAAACACTCCTTTTCTTTTTGGTCTGTGTGTGCTGGTGCTGGGGCTTGAGCTCGGGGCCTGGGCACGGTCCCTAAGCTTTTTTACTCAACACTGGCATGCTACCACTTGATCCACAGCTCCACTTCCAGCTTTTTGGTGGTTAAGTAGAGATATCACAGACATTCTTGCCTGGGCTGGCCCTGAACTGTGATCCTCACATCTCAGCCTCTGGTATTACAGGCGTGACGCAACCGGCTCAGCAAATACACCTGAATATGTTTGCCCAGAAAAACCTCCGGGGTTCCTCCCAACCAACATGGCATTCTATGATTCTCCCTGAACCCCACCAGCCCTGCCCTTCTGCTCCTGCTGAACACATGGACCAAGACACAGAGGCCTCTAAAGGCTTCTGGAAGCTTCCAACCCCATCTGGGGTGCTCCCAGGACACAGCTCTGAGCCCGCCCTTAGGGACGGCGGCCAGCTCTCTGTCCCTCACAAGGACAATGACAGCAGGGCACCAGGACACCCACTCCTCCAACATCGGCAGAGAAAGGAAGACATAACCACAGGATCTACTGACAGAGAGACAACGAAGCAGAATGTGTGGACGCTGCCTGTGGAATACTATTTGGCCCTGAAAGGGGAAGGGAATTCTGATAAATGCTGCAGCCTGGGTGTGCCCTGAGGAGACCACGCCAGGTGAATGGAGCCACACGCACAGACAAAGCCGGCCATGCTGGACGGGGAGGGTGCGGGAGTGGGTACCCAGCCTCACCTCGGCCCCGACCGCCCGCCCTCCCAGACCACGCCAGGTGAATGGAGCCACACGCACAGACAAAGCCGGCAGCGCAGTGAACAGGAGCAGAGGTGCATGCTGGACGGGGAGAGTGCGGGAGTGGGTATCCAGCCTCACCTCGGTCCCGCCCGCCCGCCCTCCCAGACCAAACACTCACGTCCCAGGACCAGACCCAAGCGCGGACCAGGGCAGATGCCCTGGCTCAGCCCTCCCTGTTCCCCCCATGCGTCCACCCCGCCCCCAGACAATGCAGCGCCCTCCGGACCCCCTACCGACCCCAGCCTGCGAGCCAGGTGCCCCCACCCCACAGGGTCTCCTAATAAACCTGCGCTGGTGTGGCCCCCAGACAATGCAGCGCCCTCCGGACCCCCTACCGACCCCAGCCTGCGAGCCAGGTGCCCCCACCCCACAGGGTCTCCTAATAAACCCACGCTGGTGCGGCCCGGCCTCCTTTCTCGCCTCCTTCTCCTTTCTCAGCCTAACAGATGGCAGCCACGGCTGTGAACAAAACCTGGCTTTATCCCCGCACGGCGGCCTTTAAAATGGCAAACATGCACGGCTATGTGGATTTGCCCAGAATATGAAGAAAGTGGGGGCCGCCCTCACCGCCTTCCCGCCGAGGCCGGGCCCGCCCCAGGGCACTGCGGCCGGCCTCCACCGCCGGTCCTCCTGCCCCGGCCCCCCGGGAGCCAGGATGGCAGGAGTACACCTGAAACACCCTGGACACCGGGCCCACCGTGCAGGACTGAGGACCAGCCCCCCAAACCCCTCCAAACCCACTGGGCTGAATGGGAGAAACATCCTCAGGAGAGAGGAGGAGGAGGAAGGGGAGGAGGAGGAAGGAAGAAGGGGAAAGGAGAGGAAGGAGAGAAAGAGGAATGAGAGAAGGGGCAGGAGGAGGGAAGGAGAAAAGGAAAGTGGGGGGCAGGGGAGAGGGGAGCAGGTGGGAGACAATGTCCCCCACTTGGTCACAATGTGACCTTTGGCATCCTTGCCAGCCTGTGCTCTGCTTGAGCATCTGCTGTGTGCGGGGCGGGGGAAGGACACGCTGGCCTCAGCCCCCCCATGTGGGGGTGGCAGGCCCACACCCCGCTGTCCGGAAGCCCCCAGGATGCTCTGCGTCCCCGCCCAGCGCGCGCCTCCCCAGCCCCTGCGGCCCTCTCCTTCCTGACCCCCGCCCCACCCCCTTCTCACACACAGTAGGTCTAGAGTCCTGGAGGAGACCCGAGTGAGCACAGAGATCCCAGCACCCAGCTGCTGGCCTGGCACCACAGTGGCCTTCACTGCTCTGTGCCTCAGTTTCCCAAGATAGCAGAATCTGGGTTCTGCCAGGACCCACTCCTTCCCCCCAAGGACAAGGGGAGATTTAAAGGACCAGACAGACAGACAGACAGACACACACACACACACACACACACACACATGTACACACACACACATACACATACACACACATACACACATACATACACACATACACACATACATACACATATACACACATACACACACAAACACATACACACATACACACACATACACATACACACATGCGCACACGCATGCATACACACATACACACATACACATACAAACACATACGTACACATATACACACATACACACACAAACATACACACATACACATACACACACATACACACATACATACCCCTACCCATATACACACATACACATGCACACACATACACATACACACATACACATATACATGCATACACATACATACACATACATACACATACACACACATACATACATACACATTCACACATACATACACATACACACATACACACATACACATACACGCATACATACATACACATACACATACATACATACACATACACATTCACACATACATACACATACACACATACACACATCCGTACACATATACACATACACGCATACATACACACATATGCACATATACACACACATATGCACATATACACACACACAGCCCCTCCTGAGGCGGGGAGGGAGGACTCAGCACCCAGCACCCCCCACTACTGACAAGCCCGCCCCTCCCCCTCTCTGATTCTTTTTCATCTTTCCCTTTGTACGGCCCCAAGTCTGTCTGTCTTTATTCCCAGGCTCTTTGAAAAACTAAAGAATGAAAGGCTTTGAGGCCGCTTTGTGTCTCCTTTGACGTTATCAGGGAAACGGACGGAGCTGAGCGGGGAAGGGAACAAAGGCCCATCGCTTCTGGATCGTGACGAGCAGGGGGCGGACGGGCGCTGTGCTCCAGCTCCTGCAAATAGGGGGCGCAGCGTGGACATGCACCCTGACTCGTCACCAAGAACCAAGATCACAGGAAGATCAAAGAGAAGACCAGAGACACTGGAGCTGGCCGGCTCCACCTCAAACACGGGGCCTCAACCCGCCCAGGGCCCGAGGCCCTAACTCCATCCAGGACACAGGGCCCTAACTCCATCCAGGACACAGGGCCCTAACTCCATCCAGGACACAGCAGGGCCCTAACTCCATCCAGGGCACAGGGCCCTAACTCCATCCAGGACAACACAGGGCCCTAACTCCATCCAGGACACAGGGCCCTAACTCCATCCAGGACACAGGGCCCTAACTCCATCCAGGACACAGGGGCCCTAACTCCATCCAGGACACAGGGCCCCAACTCCATCCAGGACACAGGGGCCCTAACTCCATCCAGGGCACAGAGGCCCTAACTCCATCCAGGGCACAGGGGCCCTAACTCCATCCAGGGCACAGGGGCCTAACTCCATCCAGGACACAGGGGCCCCAACTCCATCCAGGACACAGGGCCCTAACTCCATCCAGGGCACAGGGGCCTAACTCCATCCAGGACACAGGGGCCTAACTCCATCCAGGACACAGGGCCCTAACTCCATCCAGGACACAGGGCCCTAACTCCATCCAGGACACAGGGGTCTAACTCCATCCAGGGCACAGGGGCCTAACTCCATCCAGGACACAGGGGCCCCAACTCCATCCAGGACACAGGGCCCTAACTCCATCCAGGACACAGGGGCCCCAACTCCATCCAGGACACAGGGCCCTAACTCCATCCAGGACACAGGGGCCTAACTCCATCCAGGACACAGGGGCCTAACTCCATCCAGGACACAGGGGCCTAACTCCATCCAGGACACAGGGCCCTAACTCCATCCAGGACACAGGGGCCCCAACTCCATCCAGGGCAGAGGGGGTTAACACGCTGGCGCAGCAGGGCCTTGGCTGCCTCCACCCAGACGTTTGTGGCTCTTTTGAAGCCAGACCCACCTCCACCCGCCAGAGTCCCTCAGCCACACAGCGACTGTGGGACTCCGCACCCCAGCCCCGCTGGGGAGGACCCCAAGACAGCTCTGCCAAAAGAGGCTTGCCAGGGCACCACTGGAGAAATGGGAGCTTCTTTCTTTCTTAGTTTTTTGTGCCAGTCCTGGGGCTTGCACTCAAGACCTGGGTGGCAGAACAAGAGACTTTTGGGGGGGCTGGGAAGGTGGCTCAGTGGTAGAGTGCTTGCCTTGCATGCCTGAGGCCCCGGGTTCGATTCCTCAGCACCACATAAGCAAAAAGAAAAAAGCGAAGTGGCGCTGTGGCTCAAGTGGTAGAGTGCTAGCCTTGAGCTGAAGAGCTGAGGGACAGCACCCAGGCCCAGAGTTCAGGCCCTACAACCAGACCCCCCCCCAAAAAAAGACTTTTTTTTAATTGTCAGATATGGGGCTTATTAAACTCAGGGCCTGAGTGCTGTGCCTGAGCTCTTTTACTTGATGCTAGAGCTCTACCAGGTGAACCACAGCGCCACTCCTGGGCTGGGTTTGAACTGCGATCCTCAGATCTCAGCCTCCTGAGTAGCTAGGATGACAGGTGTGCCACTGGTGCTCAGCCCAAAACAAGAGCTTTTAATAAACTTTCCAGGGGGCTGGGAAGTTGGCTCAGTGGTAGAGCGCTTGCCTTGCATGCATGAGGCCCTGGGTTCGATTCCTCAGCACCACATAAGCACAAAGAAAAAAGCCGGAAGTGGCGCTGTGGCTCAAGTGGTAGAGCGCTAGCCTTGAGATGAAGAGCTGAGGGACAGCGCCCAGGCCCAGAGTTCAGTCCCCACGACCGGACCCAAAATAAATAAATAAATAAATAAACTTTCCAACCCCTCACCCCCATCCACAGCCAGGGGTAATTTCTTCACAGGAGTTATAACTGAATGGAGTAATTTACCAACCAAGCAGCTCTGATGAGTGGTTCTAAAAGTCAATCAAATGGTGCTTGGTGCCCGGAGCCGGTGGCCAGCTCATGCCTGCAATCCCAGATACTCAGAAGACAGAGATCTGAGGATCCACTTGGAAGCCAGCCTGGACAGGAAAGTCCGTGAGACTCTTAACTCCAGTATCACCAAAAAGCCGGAAGTGGAGCTGCAGCTCAAGTGATAGAGCTCTGGCCTTGAACAAAAAAGAACAAAAGAATGCACGAAAGAACCCCAGGGACAGCGCCCAGGACTGGTACCAAAAATAATAAAAATGAAGCCATGTCAGGACACTGGCCCATGAACTGTCCCCCCCCCCCCACAGCCCACCTGCCCTCCACTGCGGTTCAGGTGTGCTGCTGCCCGTCTGGCCCAGCCAACCTTTCCAGAACCTTCTCTGTCTCCCTCTGACTAAACCAGCCTCCCTGCCCTCCACCGAGCAGTTCCGGCCTCAGTGCCTTTGCTCATGCCGTGTCCCCACCAGGCATCCTCTGGCCGGAGTCTGCGCTTGTGGACGTCCTGTCTCTGGACCCCAGCCCGGCTGGGCCCGGCCGCCTGTGGCAGCGGGGAGACGGCAGTGGCGGCCGAGGGCACACAGGCGGCTCCTGGCGGCAGCGGGCTAGCAGTCATCGGGTGTGTGCCTGGACACCGGCCCCGGCCTCACCCCAGCCTCACCCTGACCACCAGTGCCTGAGCGGGCGCTGTGCTATTTAGGGTCACCGCTCTGTCAGGGCGCACCTGGATGGAGGTTCATGGCACCCCAATCCGAGAGCTGCAGTCTGCCCCAGCCACAGCATGGAGCCATTGTCCTGGTGGCCGGGGACACGTCCCAGGACCGGTGACAGGGCCGCCTCACCACAAACCAGGCCTGATCTGCTCAGAAGGCCTGGGATTTTCCACCCAGAACTCCTGCCAACACCTCACCAGGGTCCCAGGGCTGGAATGGCCTGTCAGGCCGCACAGGAGCAGAGCAGGGACCCCAGCAGCACCCGTCCACCCAGCGGGGACTGAGGGGCCGCTGTCTGTCCATGCTGGCTTTGTCTCGTCTCTGATCAACAGCCACCACACATCCTGCAGCCAGCCCGGCTACTCCCCCTGCCTCCCCCCAAAGAGCTCGCCCTGTTCGCCTCCACTTTTCTCTGACAGTCCCCCCCCAGCACACCCAGCAGTCCCTGCACCTGCAGGGCAGTGACCCCATCCCTGGCAAGTCCTGGGGCGGCGTTTCTGCTCCCATCAAGCTGCTACGGCCCGTGAGTGCGCTTCAAAGAGACCTCATCACAGGCTGGCGAGCGAGCACCACATGGGGGGGGCGGGGGGGCGGGACACATCGAAGGGACAACCATCAAGCCAGGATGCCAGCGGTGGCTTGTGACCGTGATCCCAGCCAGCCTGGTTAGTTAAGTCCGTGAGACTCCTATCTCCAGTTAACCAAAAAAAAGCCAGAAGTGGAGCTGGGGCTCAAGGAATGATAACCTTGAGAAAAGGAAAGAATCTAGGCCCCAAGTTCAAGCCCAGTACTCACTCACACACCAAAAACCCAAACCAACCACGCTGGTAAACTCCCTGTGAGCCAGGCCCTTTGTCGGCAAGCTGTGCGCGGGGGTCCACCAGGCAGGGAGGGGCCCCCTCTGGGAGGGGTCCCGTGGGGAGGGGGCCTGTGCTGACGGCGGGGGGCTGTGCTCCACAAAGAACAGAACAGAAGCCTGCTACAAGCAAGGAAGTGCAGCCCGGCTGCAGGCTGTGGAACTAACTTGTATTAATTAATCTGATCAGCCACGTCCCCCACATACCCAGGGAACTCCAAAGCGTGCACTCACTGCTGAGAAAATAAGAAGATTAAATCATTAAACCATTAGGAAAAAAAATGGACTCCTCAGAACACCTGTCTGGGCAGGAGTAGGGAGCACTGGAGCCACAGCGCCCTCTCGTGGGCACGGCCAGCTCTGCCGGCAGCACAGGCTCCTAGAGAATGATGGGCAGCAGCGGGAGGCTTTGTGGGGCCTCAGTTCCCCGGGACACTGGACAGCCAGCTCCACCCTTCCCGGGGACGTGGCTGTCAGTGGACCCTCCCTTGGGGAGGCTGAAGCCTGCAGGCGGCCGTCCAGTCAGGTGGAGGAATGGACTCCTAGGGCCCGCCCTAGCCAGCTGGCGACCACGGGGCCCAGGGACGGGGGGGGGGGGGCAGGTCTCAGGCCCTGCACAGTGAAGTCGGGCAGTGTCCTCAGGCCAGCAAGAACCAGAGGGGACTGTCCACCCGTGTGAGAGGCCAGGTAAGTGCAGGACTGGACCTGGAACGGGTGTCTGGGCCAGCAGGAGAGGCGCCAGGCTGGGGAGGAGGAGAGGGCCTCATGGATAGGCCACTCCAGGAAAGCCTGGACGCAAAGGCCATGTGCCGGGGGCTCTGGTGGCAGGGGGCCCGGGCCCCGGCTCCTGTCAGGGGCCGCCTCCCAGAGACGTGGCCTGCGGGGCTCCCCGAAACCAAACAACGCAGCCCAGGGGGGTGTCAGGACCTTCCAAAGGGAGTCCCCACCTGGACGTCCACAGGCTTCCAGGAGCCGAGCGAGGGTCACTCATGTCCACACACACGGCTTCTGCAGGACTTCTCAGTGGCCGGGTGAGTCTCCCCCAGAGGAGCAGAGTGCTGGGCGTCTCCCCCCCACCGCGGAGGGAAGGCACGGGGGTCCGTGACCAAGGGCTGCGTAAGAACCGGGGCTAGAATAACCCCAGCAAGGAACGAAGGCAGAGCACAGATCACAGATGCCAGGCAGGCCCCGCCCCTAAGACCCTGTCCCACAGCCCCCCCCCATGCAGGCCCCACCCCCAGGGTACAGGCCCAGGCCTTTACTGGAAAGTCAGCCGGCCCCCAGCAGGCCAGAGGGCAGCCAGGTGAGTTTAACACTGACTGAAGGTTAGGAGTGGCTGGTGGCTCACGCCTGTAATCCTAGCTACTCAGGAGGCTGAGATCTAAGGATCAAGGTTCAAAGCCAGCCTGGGCAGGAAAGACCGTGAGACTCCTATCTCCAATAAACCACCAGAAAACTGGAAGTGGTGCTGTGGCTCAAGTGGTAGAGCGCT